GAATCAAACCCAGGAACTTTGGTCTTAAGCATGAATGCCTAACCTCTAGACCACTGAAATGGAACCCAGTGGTCCACCAACCAATTCATGATATTTTTTAACCATCCCCAAAGGTCTTGAGTTCAGTCCTTCTTTGCAGAACTGTGGATACACGCTTCCTACGTTAAAGCAACTGCTCAGTATTTCCTGGTTTACAATACATGTCTAACTTGAGTTGGTTTGTAATATCATTAAGATTCAGTAATCTCCACAAAACTTTAAACTGAAAAAGTTTATCCGCAATAAATACATTGTCTTTTGTGTTTAATGAAAGTTAAATGAAAGTCTTTCTAAATGAATTGATTAATTGTTATTTGTGCTTATTACTGTTACTGTTATTACTGACAACAAAAATCAGATTAGGAAATCATAAAAATAAACACGTAAATTATTTTGATCCCTTTAAAAGACATGAAATGTTAACTAAGAATAATTATTTATGATAGTAATGATTAAAACTTAAGGATTATCTCTACTTATCTCTAATCTGCTTATATGAATCTTACGTTTGCCTATTTAATGGTCATAAACAATCACTATTATTTTCTAAATAGATTTAAATCTTGGTATTTTAAATGTGTCGATTTAGCGGAGGAATTCTTTTATATAAAAAAGCTAAATGAAACTTTAGTTTCTTTTTTATCGAAACGAATAATAGCTTTTCAAACCTCAACTGCCCTTAACTAAAACAATTATAATTAACCATAAATAACTCAACCATTAAATCTCTTTGGTGAATCCCAGTCATACTCGACAACGTTTAATTCATGTCGTCAACACAATACCTTTAGGCCATTACTTTGAAAGCCTTCTGAAAATTGTTTAACATTGTTTATAAATAACTTTTGCGTAATTTACATAATATTACAGTTTGTTACGAAATATTAGTTTGTTTTACTGTCAAAAGCTATGGTGTTATCCTAGAAAAAGTCCGATATAGGAATCGCAATTATTTCTTATGATTATTTTTATATGGTATATTATATCACATAGAACACTTATACTTCGAATTATACACATTACAAGCGACATAAATTATTCATATTCATGGAAAGAAAATATAATCTTTTTATTTCATTAGAAACCATATTCCCAAACAGAACAAATCAAGCATCTTTATACCTATAAAAAATTTCTTTTGTTCATTCAAAGTGTGACTTATCTTCTTTCTAAAACTGAATATCACTATGTTTGACTGTCATCTTAGAAACCGTAATATTTTGAGATGGTAGAGAAAATTTGTAGCTCAGGTGTATGGTCATGGTTGTGTTTCGTTCTCTGAGCTGGATGTTTTGGTTGTGGAGCTTTCATTCTTCTTCTGGACAACATCATCAGCACAAACTGCAGGCATATTTGACCTCTCTATAAATACTTATAAAAAAATACCATACTGTAGAGCTGCTTGAACTGATCAAACTCTATCGACTAGGCTGCTATGAGGCAATTACTTTCAATGACTTCGTCCAATGTTCTCTAGTTAGAGGTATTAAATAGGAAGGTATGTTTATTGTAGCACTTGTCAGTTGATCAGCTTTAACTATTTTCCATCAAAAATATTACTGTAGTCGATAGTCGACTGAGTTTACTTACTGATATTGAATATTTTACTGATACGTTAAAAACTAAAATACTCAGGTTTTCAGAAATACCCTCCTAATTTTTCCAAACGTTTTATCTAGATTTAATGAAAACGTCTACAGCTTGTATGTTCAATATATATTTAATTTTGGTCAAATACTAGTCATTAATTTTTTCAGATTTTGTAATTAGATTATACTTAGTACAATTATTCCACAAATCATATTTAGTGTTATATTCGATAATTTTAACTTCTGATTATTTCCCCTAAGGAGCTGAATACATGGTAAATCCTATTTTTAAAAAAGTTATATTTACGTAATAGATATATCTTTTGTTTAACAGTAAATTAAAAATGATTTTCCAGAAAGATATAAACTATAAACGATTTCAAACTTTATAATACTATCTTTGTGTTCCATAATATTTTATTGAAACATTAAAAAGAAGTAAAATGCTCAATTTCTATATTCAGTTTTCTGTGAATGTGTAGTTTATACAAGACAAATTGTTAGGCTCGAGTTAATCCCGTCACTTTAAACACAGAAATATGATTTAGACAATTTTCTAATATTTGTAGTTTTTACGAAGTTTAACCATTGATGTGTACTTGTGATATTTGTTGTAGACATATATAATCATACAAAATACTATGATAATAATCTGGGAATTAAGTCAAACTTGTGTTTTTACATGGACATTTATAGAAGGTATTCATATACACGAATTAATTGTTGTATCAGTATTTCGACCGTCCGTGAATATGTATCCTTTGATGATTGCAGCATGGGGTGAGTTATGTAGTCGGTTTCTTTAGTAATAAATGAAATAATCGGTAAGGCTATTATGAATTGAATAAACCGAAGTAGTCCTTAAATATCCGTGAAAGTTGATTACCTTTTCAAATGAATATAAATATAATAAAGAACTACATTACCATCTACTATATTGAAGATATCACGTGTATTCAGATATGGACAAAGCGTTTGTCAGTAACACCTTTCAGATCGAGAATACCCAAAGACAGGTCAAACCAGAAGCCAGGACTTTTGGAAGATCGAAGGTATATTTGAATGACAGTTGAAATGTAAAAGAGTGAGTGAACTAAGCATTCAATTTGATGTGATAAGATGCGTTGCACGACGTACACCACAAGGATCTGATGTTGATGCGTGATGAAGCGCCTTCAGCTATTTGTCCAGCACCAGTGTCGAAGACCTACAGAATTATTTGACTTGGAGATTTATCTACCGCTACAATAAAATACTTCCCTCTGAATACATTTAAATTTTTTTCAATGCATTTTCCTGTCAATAAAAACATAATGAATTGTATTCAGTTAGATAAGCATTTATATTTTGTATCATTGTGTAAAGTCAGAAAAGACTGACATTTTGTGTAATATCACACAATATAACTACTCTTTTGCTAACGAATTTTTAAAAACGAAATAATATCTCGATAACTTTCCTATTTAAATATTTGTAGTTTATAATCATATGTTTTTAAGTGTCAGCCAATTAAAGTAATGAAAAATACTAGTTCTGATATTTAGCCAACTAGTGGTCTACTGATAACACTTGTATGCACCAGTAGATAGAGATTTAATTGGTGGTTTATTTGCAGAGATACATTTTATTACAAGATATATTTTTGTGATAAGAACATTTATCTAGCAGATGCAGCTCATATGTTAAAATTGATTTATTATTATCGGACAAGTTTTTATTGCTTAAGACTTTTTTATTTTACTTTTTAAGATGTATGAATGTTTCCACGATATTACCATTATGTACCCTTGAATAAATGGACGGTCAATATAACTAGCTTTAACTAAATTACAAGAAAGGGTTTTCTTGAGGCTTTGTATTTTGTTTCACCATTTCAGTCGATAATACGCTTGCAGTTGTAACCTATCTGTTTTATTGTTAGGGAAATTAATATGAACGGGATAATGTATAAAAACTATAAAATTCAAAATACGGCTACGGTTGTGAAATTGCATCAAAAACATAAATAACGATGATTCATTGTTTTTGAATTTCATTCGAGAGATTATACTACTCTTCTTCACTCTGGCCTCCATTTAAATTAAATATTACACTGTTGAACGTAATTAATGTTTAGTAAAATGTCTCACATACATAGCGACCAAAGTTTGATAGAACTTATTGTTGACTACTGTTCAAAATATATTGTGCAAGGTGTTTGAAGGAAATGTAAGTATATTATTGGTACCCTTTAGCCAATTCGCAACTGTAATAGTAAAGTTAAGGGTACGAAATCTTAGTAAATGGACATTGTTGGAAATCCTAGTATATCCTTTGATAGATTTATTTTGTGAATACATGTATAAATTAGTTTTTAAACATTTACTACTCTTCCATTCGTTCTTACAGTTGTACCAATTTTTGTCACAGCACTTTGGCTAGGTGTATGGTTGTATAAAAATAAAATAGACGAGTAAGTTCATTTTCACTTGAATAAGCATTAAATCCTAAGTTTTTCTTGATTTTAATATACGTTCAGAACAAGCCTAAAATTAACTAAAGAAGTTTAGTTGATATTACCTAAATAAGTCTTGACAATAACAAGTATAGTACTATCTATTGGCTGGTTAATTTATAAGACTAATACAATGAGGGTGATGCACAAAAAGCCATGAGGTTAGCTTATTAATCTTACGAATTTCTGGTGTTCACTATACGATGAAAGTGTTTACATATCTCTTTAGTTATTCCAGTGATAAGTAGATATGCTGCATTACAGTTATGGTATGGAAATTCTGTAAGATTCAAAGTTTGTTTTCATCCCGACCCGACAGAACATCCAGTTCTACTGAAAATCATAAGACGATTGAAAAGTATTTCGTTTCATTTTGAGAAACATCAACAGTACTGACCTAGGACATCACTAGAAATCTTTCGTTGGACTATCAGGTCTAACATTTAGAAAAATAACATTATGTGACTGAACCGAAATTCAATGATTCACAGGAATAATTTAAGTCATTCTTCTTTGAGTTATTCTCAAAGATTTCGATAATTGTAAATGAACCACATATCCTTGACACATCTACATTCTTTTCTCATTAACAATATATTAGTAAATTAGTCTCATACAGATACATTCAATATGTTAGTTCCTTACAAACCACTAAGTGTGTCTTTTCTGTTAAGATTAATATAATTTGGCATGCTTAAAAGAGTTCATCATCTAAATCCACCCACTGTATAAATTTTTTACCTATTAAATTATGTCAGCTGATTCTTTAGAGAGATACAGATTGATTGATTGATAAAATAGAAAATGACCAATACACTTTCGAGCATTGTTTAATATAGTCAAATAAGGTAATGCTCTGCATTGCATTTGGGAATATTTCTTTATGTCATATAAAAACTGAAACCAATGTTCAAACTTCAGAACCGAATTTAAAGCAAATACTAAGTAGGAAACTTCAGAGCGATAGCTTCGACCTCATTATCTGGTACGTAAACGAAAATTTACAAATTGTTTATGTTGATATATACTCATGTATTTCGATATATCAGTAATAATATCATGAATACAAAGAAAACCTTCTTTTATATTCGATGGATTAAAAAACTTAGCAAAAAAACAAATTTGTTCTATTTTATATTTGTGGTAGAAATATAGTCAGTGTTACGAGCCACCGTTATGCACCATGCATTAACATTCTAGAACTGTATTGAGTATAATTCTTACCAAGAAGAAATGAAGTAGTGTTTCCAAACGACGACTAATTTACTGGCCTATATAGTGAAAGTAAAATGCAATGGAAGCTTTGATTATACAAAGTAAATATTTCATTCATTTGATATCTTCCAGATAAATGTTTTAAAAGAAATAAACTTTCGATTTATTAAAAATTTTTTATTTATTTTCATTGATTAAAATATAATAGACGAACTGTAGTGCAACTTTCTTTTAATATTTATTTTGTTTATCAAGAAGCTGGTCATTGTACACGTTTCATTCAACTTACTGGATATCGGATAGTTTCAGATTAATTTTACTATCGGTAAATTATTTCTTGCGTTCACTTTTAATGAACAAATTTAATTAATTGCATTGACAGTAGTAGCTATTCAGAGATAACATCACCTACTATATAATTTACTATGACTTTGATATTTAAAGAGGATGGATGATTAGGGTGTAGTTTGGTTCTCTAAACTGGACGTTTTGGTTGTGTGGAGCTTTCAGTGTTCTTCTGAGCATCATCATTAACAATAACATGATAGTGTTGTTAAGAAGAACAATGGGGGCACAGTTTAAAGAGAACTCAGTAAAAAGTTATATGTATAAATATCATGATTATTAACAGTAAAACTATTTCCAGTTGAAAGGTTGTTCCTGATGAAAAGTTTGTTGTAGGTAACAATCATTAATATAGCTAAACGACCAACAACCACATCAGGATGTAGAAAATATGAGGAATTTATTTTATTTAAACGACTTTTGTTGGTTAGAAACGTTGCAAACCAATACAAAACAATATTATTAAAAATGATGATCGACGTACATTAGTTAACGAACTCAAATAATCTCATCCCAAAAATCTCATCGTCTACTATCTATCACCACTACAAATCTTCTTTTGAAGCTCAACCAACCACAACATCCAAAGAAATAATAAAACAATGTTTTGATTAAAAACTCGTTCTTTCGAAATTGTTCTTAATGATACAAAGAAATATTTGATATCTCAAGGAATAAATGACCGGAAGTAATCCTTTTAATATGAGTAACATGCAACTTATATATGTGCACAAAAGATTTATTCATTTATTTATTTCATTATTTATCAAAAATTTAACTAGATGAATATGGCTTTCCTTATCAATGTAATCCGAGTTCTTGTTCAAAGGCTTCATACAAACTATGGACCGGAAATTCGAAAATTAAGGTATATGTTAATTTTTATAAGCTGTTTAATTGTAACACATGTTATTGTTTGTTTCCAAAAGTAAATATCAATAAAATAGAATTAGTAAAATATTATGATATTCTTTTTAAGGATAAAGATTACTCCTTGTGTATTGATTATGTATTGTGTTCAAGTGTACAATTTGTCTAATAGAAAAAGTTATGGTTTGAAAAGTATAGGCTTTATTGTGATAAAATCATTATGCAGAACTATAACACCGGCAGTTACAGCCTAAAGCAATTTGTAAATTGGATGACAATAAATAAGATCCTTTTCTGTAATTACATCTATTTGAAGTAGTTCTATATTTTATTTGACCGCCAATCAGATGATGAACGTGATCAATAAACAAGCTTACAATTTTCATCAGACTTAAAGCCTAAAAAAATAAAACATACGGAAATCAGCATTCATCCACGCAAAAATTAGTGTTAGTTCCCAATATTAATAATAAGAAAGCATCGTACTAAAGGTACTAGGAGGAATTGTCTATTACTGTTGCAGATTAGAACTAACATACCAGTCAGCACCCTCAGTTTACTATTTTAGAGATCAATGACCAAACGGACAGATGCAGATTCTAATATAATTATCAGATAATATGAATTATGTAGGTCTCTAGGACAACTCATAGTAGAGTTTAGGAGAAGGTAATTAGTTCTTTCGCAAGTAATCTATTAAAAGGACAATCCCTGAAGAGTTTCATTGAAAGACGTTTCTTTCGCAAAAACGTCCTGTCGCTTATGCTGATTTGAGTTTTCTAGATCTAAGCTGATCTACCAATTTCCACTTAGCATATATACTTATGGTCTCCATAATATAATAAGGTCTAATCCGCTATTGTTACAATACAAGAGAGAAATAAGCCATGATTCACGAGAACCACTAAGATTCCTAGTTACACCATAAAAACAGGTGGAGCGTTCAAACACACGGAAGTCGAGTCATCTATCAAAGATTCAGCTCAAAGATGAAACGAAAGTAATAAACTATTCACACTCTACAATTAGACTACAGCAGAAGTGTCTTCAGTTGTGTGAATATTGCAGTTGCAATCTGCAGAGACATTTCTACAAAAATACCAAGTCAAAAGTACAAGTGCCTTATCGATCTTAATACAGGAAGGTCGTACGTCAATTCCTGGCGTTGGGGCATTAAATCCTCGAATACAATATGTTAGGAATAAATCAAAATTAAGTTCGAGTACACTTTTGGAATGGCTTTCATTCATGTGACTTTTGCAATCATTTGGTATAGGCAACTTACACTATCAAATTCACTCAGATCAATTTTGTGTAAATTTCTTCCCTCAACAACGGCTGCAAATAAAGAAATGAATGACAAATAATCTTCTTTGATCCCTAATGAGAAACCTTCTTTTCAAGATTTCATTTTGGAACAATAGGATTTAGAAAGGAAAAGAAGCTGTGATATCCTGGTACAGAGCAGTTGTTAGTGATAAAAGCACTTACTGACGGCAACTTTCAGAAATCCAAGATCATTATTTTATGCATATTTTTCATAAAAATCAGAATTAAACACGACGTTGACTAAGTAAATCGTTTACTACTAATTACTGTTGAGTAATTAGCATTATAGACATTACACCATAAAGTATATATTTTCTGGACAATGAACGATTTAGCAGGATACAAGGTGTTTGTCAGGCAGAGAACCAGTAACTAAATCATATCCTGACAGATTCCTGCCTAAACCGTTTTTAAAATCGCCGATGTTGTCAGCACTGGCTAGATGATCTACATAAACTGACAATTAAAGTCATTTTTAGTCACCATTTGACTCAGTAAATATTTAAGAACATTAGGCAGATTGGAAGGATTTTACTGACACAAAAACAAACTGAAGTAAAAAATTGACACTAGAAAACTATTGATTTTACACAACGCTTGTTTATCTTTTTTCATCCACGTTTATTTAAGGTCATTAGGATGACATTTTTTACATCAGAATAGGACCGTTGAGAAAGTCTAATCAGTGACAATTGTGAATTATTTAACTCAGAAATAATCCTTTTTTTCAAATTAATTAATATATTTTTTCTTTTTAGAAAAGCCGTAAAAGCAGCTATCCTTTTAATGCCATTATTAGGAATTACAAATTTCATTGTACTTTTACCAGAACCAAAGCATCCTTTGGGTTTTTTTATTGTTTCTGGAATACGTCGAGTGTTGCCAACATGGCAGGGATTTATTATATCTATGATATATTATTTTATGAATAAAGATGTAAGTTTTGATCTATTTGAGTTATTGGATAACTTGAATCTCCTTTATTATAATAATGACACACTTGAGGTACACTCATTTCAGAGCAACTTAAATATTCAAGTAATACTTTTGATATAGTCTTCTTAGAAGTTAGATACAGTGATCATTCATTCAAGGCATTGGTTGTTTCACCAAATAAATTGTCTTGCTATCACATTTTGCATACATATTGGTATTAATTTAAGTGAAAAGTTGTTTAAAATATTCTAAAGTTTACAAAGGACCGTTGCACAGAATTCAGTAGACAAATTATCAAAACTGCACTTCATGTTTAATCATCAACTGCTTTTTTAACATGGTTTCATCATGGAAATTTCCATTATGTATTTAATATAGAAATCTGAAGAAATGATTTGCATTCCTAAAGAACATCGTTTTTTTAATGGTTTCATATTTTTGTGAGCTTCCTTATCACAGATTCGTGGGCTAAGTTGACTGATGCAATTCTACAGTTAGATTGTTATCAACTGCACAAAATTCTGTGTACGGCAATCTAAAATTTTACTTCCAAGGGCTTGCTTAAAGCATTGAAAAACCGGTCAACTTGAGAATTTGATCAGAATCTTATATAAGTGATAAAGTATTGATGACAGTGAACATAAAATGTAGGAAAATGTATAATTTTTATTAACGGTTTCCATCGAGATGAATTCTACTTCATTATGTAATAATTAAAATACATTTCAGAGGATTAAATTATCACACAGTTGAAAACTGGTGAATTATACAGGTACACATATTAAATAATTACTTTTGCTGTCTAAAGAAAACCTGCAAACTACTCTGCAGTTACACATAAATTAGTTGGATGAGAATTAAAATATGAGAAACTCTACTTATGTTTTAAAATAGAATTTAGATTATATCGAACACATAAAATGTGGCTAGCAGTGGAATTCAGGAAATAGGTTTCGTTCTCTTTGGAACTGGCAAGCCGGATGCGCCTGCATCTTAGAGTTGATGTTCATTCTGGGGCTCAAACCTAGTACCGTTTGCTTCAAAACATTATCGCGTTGCCCACTAAGCTGACGAGCCCTATTTAGGACGAAATGCATGACCCGGCTTCCACAGCTAGCCACATTCTATCTATTCTACATAAACTTGTGTCGTAATAGTTATAATGAGGCAATCCTCGTCGTATTTCCAGATGCCAACTCAGACTTATCAAATTTCAGCTAAAATATCAACGACGAGATTATCCAAACCACTTCAGATTGAAATAAAATTTAGATTATATATCAGTTGTTTATAACTTTCCGTAAATCGTGTGAAAAGAATGCACTTTAAATTACAATTTTTTATTTAAATATATCTAAACGCCAGTAGTTAACCGTTAAAATTATCAATGTGCAATGAAAAATGATCATGTGATATTTATTTATCTTCCATTGATAAATAGCAAAGTATATTTATCGAATTTTTAACTTTAATTATAATGAATTTACGACCATTAAAAATAATCATTTCTGAAGTTAGTTTGACAAATTATACGTTAATTAATCATTTACAAATGAATAGACTATTATTAGAGCTTATTTATCAACATTTCTGAAAACCATATCATATGCTAGATTAGTAAACATTAAAAGTAACAAATTATTTTGTTGAAGTTATGATCTAAGCCTAATGTTATTCACCCGATATAATCACACCCAAATATTTGACAAGACAATGAACTGATCCAAGCTTGCTAGTAACAAAATGGCTGCTATTGTAATTATAACACCATATTTGCACATTATTATTTAATTGCAAATCATGCCGTAATCATGATAAACTTTATTCAGAAATTTAATTTCGTTCTTGCTAGTACAAACAGAACATTTCTAGTTCTTACATTTATTGATTTGAATGCGGTTTGCAATGAATCGAAAATAACAGCAAATCTTATGATGATAACAAGTTAACCTGACATTTAAATATGATAATTGAATCTCAAATAAATTATTGAATTCGAACAGACATACGGTTATCTGTTGATCCATTATTTATCAAACATCAACACTGCTGTACATTAAAAATTAACTCCTTGGAAAAGATTCCTGTACTGAACAAATATTTCTATGATTTAATGAATATATTTAAATAGATTTTATGAGAGAAATATGAAAGAACAAAAGGATAAAGCCAGAAAGTTAGTAGGGAAATAAGATGGACCAGGTAAACTAGTCAGAAACAAATCATGAACTAAACAAAACAATCAACAGAAGACCAATTTCGAGATCAACAATCTGGATTTAGAATGAGTCTGTCCAGCACCGAATAAATCGCGATACAAAGAAGTAATAAACAATCAATTGGGTGGAACTCGTCTCCATACAAAAACCTTCCGCATTTTAGGAAAGCGCCAAGCAGCTTGAATAGTGAAAATTCCTTAGGTGTTGTATGCCACCATGCAGTATTCAAGAGGATCGTCATTATAATCCGAAACATCTACAAGACTGAATTTCAGAGTCGCTCATGGAGGGCGGGTCACATTTAAATTCTAAGTGAAGACTAGTGTAAGACCGGAAGCCTAATCTGAAATATTTCCCTTGGTTAACGGTTGGTTCTGCAAAACCTCCAGCAACCTCAAGGTAAGCAAATAATGAAATGTAAAAACATGGCAGCAGTTGGATTAATCGAACTACAAACTCTATCAAACACTTCTAAGCATTTCTACGTCAGATAATGAAGATTAATTGGACAGAGACAATAAAAAACTCGTGCTGTGATAGAGAAATAACCAGCTATTATTAGACAGGAAATTAGAAGAAAGCAGTGGAGCTGAAAAGGTCACACTTTATGGAGATCACTAAATCGCATCAAAAAGCATGCCAGAAATTAAAATCTTCAAATCCGATGGAAAAGAGGTAGATCAAAGAACAAATGGTGATTGGAATTGGAGGTAGATATCAATTCTATGGATGCCACATAGCAACTACTGAAAAGGATGCAGAACAGGGCTATTTGAATGTCCCCGATCAGCGGCACATGCAGCATGAGAAGTAGTAGGTTTCAGTAACTAAGTAAGAAAGTTTGAAGCGTAAACTCTGACATAAGAAATCTGGTATATTGGAGGTGGCAGGTAAAAAGACATTTACACAAATTTCTTGTTGAGAACAGTTTCTGTGTTGTCAATAAAAAAAGACAATGAGAAAATCTTGAATCTACCTAGTTATTTTCTCAATCGCAATATTTCACCAAGTTTCGAACCTGAGGTGCAGCATATGTTATCTCATTATGATAAATATGTCTTATTAATAACGCTTGAAAACTATAAAAGTGGTTTCCAACAATTGCATTAAATCAGTACATAAAAACTGTTATCAGAGAATACGACTAGTGGATCAAAGGTTTAGTGGTTAGGGAGTTTGAATTTTAACTACTAGGCCCTGTGTTTGACCACCGCCCCACCTACTCCGCATCGGATATTTGAGTAGTACCAGTAACCCTGAAGAATAGAATTAAGCTCATGCCTAAGCACTTAGAGAATAAGCTAATTTTAATTGTAAAAACTTATATAATTCATTGTAGATATTGAATATCTGATTACGAAGGTCTAATTTTATTATTTCTTTTGAATTCAGGTTCAAAGGTGTATACAAATGTCAATTCGAAAATTTAAATCAAAATATCAAATGAGGCAATCCCGTTTCATTTCATCTTCTCTACCTATAACAACTATACCAACAACAAACTCTGTATAAACAACTATTATGAACCCAAGCATTTTTTTATTGAATTGAATTCAGACGGAATTTATGTTCGAGCTGATGACTAATTTATGAATAAGAACAACTTGATATAGAATAATTCGGTAAACAGCCTATAAGTGTATATCTATGAGTGAGAAGAAATAAAGGTAGAATAAAGTAATTAATAAGTAACCAGACAGAAGAAATGACTTTGAACATCAGACAAAATAGCATCATTTTCCTCACACAAAAGTTTCGAATTGCCTGCTATTTCTTCTTCAAGGATTTTTAAAAGCATATCAATTTATGATTGTTATGACAAAAATCTATAAAATCGCCGTAAAAAGGTAAAACGATTCAGGTTTAAAAGAAGATGGTCTGACTACGGACTTTTCCCGACAAGACAAAGCAAAAAGCATCAGATTCGGAAGGAGAAGTAAAGAATGTAATGTAGATAAACAAAAAAAATAAATGGAAGTAGATAGCTAACGATAAATGGTTGAATTCAATGACATGAATCATTAGATTCTGACTCAGTTACTTGGTAGTACTGTGTATCCTGAAAAAAACGGAAGGGTTTCGTTTGGAGCCTACATGTGATTAGTAATGTTAAAAGCTAAGGTTCTCAAACCGAGATGCAAAATGCCTCGAGTGCTCGTTGGTTCTCAATAGCCACTTCGATTACGTCGATCTGTGATGCAATTCATATTTACAACTATAAACAAACTATTGTCACTTCAAAACACACCAAATTTTACAACAGATTGTAGTTTATGTGGGCAGGATAGAAAATGCACATCAGCAGTCTGAACACAGGAGTTGGGACGTCAGTTTGTCTGTATAGATGAGTCTATTAACCAAAATATCACATGTACCCTGTACACTGAAACCAGTAGCTGAGGTAGATTCAAAGTAACTCCTATATCAAGTCTGGATTTAGGTACTTCGCAGTGAACGTTAGGGCTACAGATATTACTCTGCCGCCCACGATGAAACCCATGGAGAAGGGCCCGAACTTACGATTTAGCCACCGAAAGCCATCAAACCGAACAATTTTTGACGACTGTTTAAGTTCATTAAACCCACCAATAAAAACAGTAGGGTGTTAGCAAGATAAACTGAGCACTAGGTAGGGAGCCAGTAATGTCTTCAACGACGGTCGGAACGTCGTGCATAATAAAAAGAAATCTACTTTTACTTACGTATTCTCCGAGAGTCAATAATCCCTCAGGTGAAACAGTTTATTCGGTTCCCGGAACGCAAATGTTTCGACAATGAACAACAAAAATGAAACAAACCAAACTTCTATAGATTATTCATGAGAATTTTTATCTATCAAAGACTCTTGAAAACCTTTTTCATCGTTTACAAACCCAAATAAATAATAATTTATATAATTTAAAGTCTCCCTCACAGCAACTAAGGATGTGCTTCGAAATTTGATGTACTTCATCTATAATTCCTTGGTGAGACATCGAAGGACATTCTAAAAATTTCGAATTATAATGGACATTACTGAGATATGAAGAGGTATATTTTGTTCGGCTTCTCCAATATCTGGTATTGAATATCTTTTTCACATGTCAGTATAAACCAATTGTTTGTTTTTCTGCATGGTTATTATTCATTCAGTACCGTTCCAGGTATTTGGTTGTGCCTAATGAATGTCTAGCTGATTGACTGCACTGGTTCTTGTCGGTTGACAGTAGTATGTGAATTTGAATATCCTTTTGTTTGAATGAATCCGCTTGTTTCCGGAAAGTAGGGTTTTTTTTATACGGACAGCAATCACGTTACCAGGCCAAAGATCAGTCATTTGCAATGTGGATAACAATAAGGAGAAATTTCTAATGCTGATAAAATTTCAGAACTAATTGAATAAATGTATAATTTAGTTTATTAATTAGTACTGAAGATAGTGCGAGAGGATGGAAGTGTAAGCGATGGAAAGGAAACGGAGATAAGCGAGGTTGATTAAGTGACTGATCTGAGGAGATGTCAATAATAAAAAATAGCAAGTCTTAGGACATGCATCAGGCAAAGCCACATTGCCTGCGTAGGTCAACTTTGGATAACAGATCGCTTATGAATATGTTGGGCTGAAATTGACCTGTGAAACTCCCGATGTTAAAACTTGCCTACTTGTTTGCACGCTATTTACCTTGGTTACCTAAGCGATTAGGTGTGCGTGGGCTACAGTGTCGGAGGCTTTTTCATAGTCTAGAAATACTGTGTGCACCTGTATTTTTCGTTCTCAGTAGAATGACCAACTGTCCCATGAGAAGATTGTATGCACACGACCTGCCTTTCCGAAACCCGTGTTGAACCTCATGCGGAATTTTGTTCTTATCCAAGCACTTCCTCATTTGTTCGTTCACCAATCATTCCATTACCTTTGATAGTATTGTTGGTAATCGACTGGTCTGTAACAGGCTGGGTCCTTCCTATCTCCTCCTTTGAAAATGGGAGAGAGAGTAGCTTGTTTTCATTCAGCTGGGATTTGGTGTGACTTCTGTGAATGCCTGAACAGGTCACATATCGGAGAACTGAGGGCTTCTGCACACTTTTTCACGACTATAAACCGAAAATTGTCACATTCTGACAATCTGAATTTTCTCAGTACTAGGTCAGGAGTAAGTCGAATATTACTTGCGTCATCAGGAGAGAGGTGTCAGCAATCATGTACTGTCAGCCTCGGCAATTACCGTAGCCATGTGGCATGTAGAAGATTCTCTCACTTGAGCATGTTATTTTCCATGTTATTTTCCACACCTGAATGTTTCGTTTACGACCATGTTAAACAAGACTGTGTCATGGTAACTAGTTCTTACTGGTGTATGGACGTGAACATCCAAGACCAGGAACTGATAATTTGTTAATAAATAATCCAAATTCGAGGATTTTCCATTATCATCTAATAGCGCTGCAAACTTGCTAAGTCAGCCCAGAACTTATAACAGCTGTGCCAAGTTATCTTTGGAAACAACCAGTAGGAATTTATCCTGCTTTCTGAGATTTAGAGATGGAGTGTTGAAATCTCCAGCTTAGAGTATTTGATCAAATTCAAGGAGTGGCAGTTAAAGCATTGCCCCACTCAGTTTATCGTTCTGGGCCCATCAACCCCCTCCCACCAGTCAAGTATTTCATGACATTTATGTGGAAGCGACACCTACATGATTCTTTTATCTTCCTCTGAGAGTATAAATTCCTGATTTCTAATTGCTTGACCTTGAGTCCTCTTACGTTGCTACTGAGGCACTTGGTGGTGTAGAATCATTTTTGGAAAATCCCTCCATGTATATATATATTTGTGTTATGATATGACTGACTCTTTCTGTTGACATTTTTGTATTTTATTTGATTCCATTTTGAGATTTTATCATTGTATATTGTTATTATTTCTATATTTTGTACTTATATTGAAGCTTTTATGTTTGCTTCTGAACTGTACACATGTTGTTTGAATTTGGTCTTTAATATGGCTACAGCCATATTTGGATTTGATACTGTTGCGGTTGGATCTAGCATCACTTATTCTTTTGGAACCGGATACCCATCAGGATAATTGGGACTTGGAAGGTGTATCAAAAGTCAGGTATTTGTTTGTATTTCCATTTTTTATATAAATAGACCACTTTCTCCTAGAATAATTGTATTTTGATATTGGACTAAGAGAGGGGTGCGTTCGACTTACACCTACTGGAAGCAAATTGAACTGCTACGTTAGAAAATTCATCTACAGGTGGTTTGTCTCATCACTTGGTGCGCCCGTGCATTAACAGCCGTCGTCGGATTTCCAAACTAGTTGTTCGATCCAAATTGGCCAAATCTTTGGAATCCGGCCTCTACAGGCTTTTCGCCTCTGTAGCGCATTCAGTCGGCGAGACCATTATTTTCGTGCATTGTGCAGAGAGTTGTTAATGTACGTCAACTATCACTTTTGTGCGCTTTCTTTGGTCTTCCTCTTGTTGTCCTACAGATCTGGCCCAGTTTTCGCAACATTTGATGTGACTAGAGAGATCGTTGTTCATACTGTACAAAGCCTGAGGCGCCTCGGTTAGGTCTTCTTGATTTTTGAAGTCCACAGAAATTAACAGGTTGGTCTTGAGGTGTGATGTACGAGGTACCCTGGAAACGGTAGTTGCCGTGGTGGTGTGAAGGCCCATAATCTGTGACAACGATTGACACTGTTGCACGTTATGCGTGTGACCTTACTCTAACCAGTTTGTGAATGCCGTGAACTACCATAATGGTCTGCTGTTCTGTGCCTTGTGATGTCCTAAATGCTGCTCATAATGACCATGGTTTGCCGTGGCTGAGTTGGATCAGGGATGACAATTTAACTTAGGGTCTCTGGGATGTGAGGCGGACATCTTTGAGAAGTTTTGCTGAGTCTAAGGTTACCCTAAATGTGGGGAGTTTCCCATTAGTGATGTTCTAGTCTTTGAAAAAACAGCATATTTTGGCCGGGGTACGGCTCATTCCAAGGCTTATCAAAGGAATCCCTACTCTCAGTAAGCGAGTCTGCGAGAATTAAATAAAATGAGTAAATTTTGCCCAACATCCCTGTCCCTGACTTAAGAGATTTGGTGTTCTCCTTTAACTTATGTACACTCACACACCGTTCCTTACTGTTAACAGGTACTGGGAAGTTTGCAACAACCGACAGTTTCGTCGGTGTGTTGGTTCGGGTTATGGCTACTTTTCGCTTGTTTCGTCGGTTTTGTGCAGTGCGAGTTAGGTTTACCTGTAGGGGTTATTTGGTTGATTTTCGGTCGAGCTTGTGTCTCTGCTAGTACTTTACTAGTACCCGTGGTACCCTCTAGGTACTATAGTATCAAGGAGAAAATGAATGCATATACTGCAGAAGTTGCATCGAAATGCACAATCAATGGTTTTGGCTGACATTCAGCAGGCCACACAGTTATTCTTGTTTGATTTCTGAAATACAGTCTCTGTCAACTAATTCGGTGCACGCTTTTATCATCTATTCTTATTTTTCCTACTTGTAATCATGGGAGTTGGAGTCTGAGGAGTGTGATTTTAATTTCTATGTTTCAGCCGAGTGATTCGAAGCGTAAGCATTCTGCCGAGATGCTTCGTGTTTTCGCACAATTCAGTCGCTCCAGACTGGGATATTCGACTCACTACTAACCCCGGAATTCAAACTTCTACTAGCTTTCCTAGTTGTCATAGTTTAAGTAGAGGTAGCAACTATATTACCAAGTTTCATACCTGAGGGATATGCAAACGAAAACGAGATCATCGGAAGAGGAAAATTTGCCAGATACGAGTAGTGCTTTATTTATATGAAGAAAACGCGATTGGTTGAATAGGAACATACTTCATTATAACCACTTATGCCAGTGGTTATTTCACTGGACTTCATGTTTATTCGCACATCTGTACACTCACTTTTCGCATGCTTGGTTCACATCTTGTTTATACTGATCCTTGTATCTTCACTCATATTCTCTGGCACCATTTCGGTATTCTTACGATACTACGAAATGGCTAGCATATATACGCCTTCCTATCGGTAATATCTTCTTCATTGTCTTTGGTTTAGAGGTGATAAAGTAATTGGTTTGAAGTGGTGTTCATAGTTAATTTCGACCTTAGAAACTGCAGAGTTTTAGAAGCAGGAAAATTATAATATTAGATGTAACTACGAAAGAATAGAGCTTGAAAGTCACTCAAAATAACCTTTGACCGTCCTAGTAAGCAACTTCACGTGGATTCAGTAACTTTTCCACAAGTCACGTGTTTGCGAGTGAATGTGTGTATGCTGTCGGAGCAACTAGGAAAAGCGCAGTTGATCAACGACTAGACCTATAGCACTGTGGTTTTGACCTGAAATGATTCGGTTTGTCCGAATGGTTACTTCTATTGTCTGACAGTGACTGGAGACAACTTTTATATCTTCAGGAATGGATAAATATACCAATCTAGTGTCCGAAGCTGGAGTGTTTCCTGTAAATGGTGGAAGGTCGGAGAGGGGACGTCATTTTAGAAGCGCGTGCGATATCCACTGTAATTCAGTGAGAAGCACATAGTAAACTAGTTGCAGTTTCGTGTTATGAGTAATTGCGTGTGGAAAATAATTTTTTGGCTCCAACTATGGACGGGACACTGGACTCGATAGTTATCATGTTACAAGCATTGGAAACATAACCTGAACCTCAACATACGCTCTTTGACCTTACTTAAAATATCTTGTTCAAGTGGTTCAAATAGTTGCGGACCTTATAGAAGAAGATTTCACATAACGTACTTTCGTATCTACTAGTTATGGATCAACAATACCTTCAGATAGGAACCTAGGTATACTTAACTTGTAAAGAATAATTATCAATAAGTTATGATGAGTTACTGTACTGAGTCATTAAGAAAATGTTACTCCCTGAAGGATTCCAGAGAAGTTGCGTTAACCATCTCACTCGGTAACCATTCCCAGAATCTGATTGTTTGTTATTAGTAGAAGGTGTGTATGAAGTTCATTTGGCTATGGTGGGCCTCAATTTTGTGGATATGTTCTCTGAGGTTTTTGCTGAGACTGAGCTCAAGTTAGTATTCTAAGGGGTGCTCAGAGGTATTTAGAATGCGATGAGTCACTAGAAGCCCACCTCCGAGACGCCTTTACTGTAGCGGGCAAACATCTAGTGACTGGAAAAGGTTTTCATAAGGTTTGAACATGGGTCCTTGAACCGATTTAGTGGCTCGCCGTTGGATACGTTCCCGTGCAATCATCTTCTTTAAGAAAGACAGAAGAAACAATAAATTTCGACACTCTAAAAAGGCCGAATAGAGACGTCAAAGAATACGTGGAACATTCTACCTTCAAACAGATCAAACATGATCTTTAACGGTGCTAGTTCAAAGTTTGATCGGAAGGCATTTTCATTAAAATTAGAGTTAGTAAAATTCCTTTATTTAGTTAATGACCAAATCATTGATACGTCTAAATTAAAGATGTTGGATAGACCAAACAATTCATAAACAAATTTCTATCAAAGGTCGTTTCTATCTTGAACTATTTGAATAAGATATTTTACGGAAGGTCAAGCGCGTATGTTGAGGGCCGCGTTATGTTTCCAATGCTTGTAATATGACAACTCTCGAGTCCAGTGAGTCCTAATGTTGCGTTAATAGTTTGAGTCACAAAATTATTTTCAAAATGCATTAATTCGTGATACGTAACTACAAATAGTTCATATCTGTAATTCTTAATCTATTACAGTGGTATATCCCTTCATATCCTAGTATTGTCCATTATAATTCGGAATTTTCAGGATGTCCTTCGATCTCTCACCAAGGAATTATAGATGAAGTACATCAAATTTCGAAGCACATCCTTAGTTGCTGTGAGGAAGACTTTAAATTATATAAATTATTATTTATTTGGGTTTGTAAACGATGAAAAAGGTTTTCAAGAGTCTTTGATAGATAAAAATTCTCATGAATAATCTATAGAAGTTTGGTTTGTTTCATTTTTGTTGTTCATTGTCGAAACATTTGCGTTCCGGGAACCGAATAAACTGTTTCATCTGGGATCTGTAAAAGTACCATTCAGTAACAAAGTTAGATGAACTCATAAGTTACGTTTGTACCCTCTACATAGTTTTCCACAATTATATCCAACTGGATATTCTTTGTATTATATTTAGAATAAAACGAATCCTTTTGCGTAGTGATGATGTCACATCCGTTATATAAGTGTCACAAACATCAGGCCTAGTGGCACTTCTGGCCGAAACGCCGTTATAATCGAAGACCCAAAGCTCATAAATGGAAGAGTTCAAAGGTATAAATTACTTGCCCACATCGTTCATATTACATATTCTATTCACAGAACGTTGTTATAATTATCTCCATTGATTAGACGAAATTCCCCTACTATACACTTCATACGATTCATGTACTATTACATTGATTACGACTTAAAAGCTTACTATGAATCATTCAGAGCTTTGCTAAACGAAACTTCTGATTTACAGATGACACGAAGTTCACCAATTCCAACTTACAGAACTATTTACTTGGAGGTTTATTCATTGTTGTAGATATTTTGCGAGATGATAATTAGTAGGACCTATAATCGTCGAGCATTTTATAGTATGAGGGATTGTTCATACTCTGAGATAAATATTCTTCCTAACAATTTTAAACACTTTTTCGTCGATTACTGGAGTTTTTTCGTTCAATAATTTTTTTCCTGAAAATTCTATCTACTTTGTCTGTTATGTCTGATTTTTTAGCTTGTATACAGAGCACCTGTACGAATATTTTAACTTTTTCATTCACACTCCACTACGTTCGTTTTGTTTAATTCAGATTTGAATGTGTTTCTCCACTTTAATTCCAGGATGGTTTCATTATCTAAGTGCTCGGCTTTTGTGGTAGTAGCTCACCTTCCAAACATTATGGTCAATTTATATTTATTTTTCTGTGGAATTGAAATTAGGACTGGGGTTGTGGGATATGGGAGAATCCCTGATGATCTAACCAACTAGGTCTCTTGATGTTGGTTATTTTATGCTTCCTTTTGTCAATACGTATGATATTCATTTATCTTCAGTCTGCTGAGTTAAGCCACAGATCTCTTGATTTCCTAGTTACCGGATGCAGATAAATTGTTAATTACACATCATTTTGCTTCCGAAATCTTAAGAATTTAGTTACAGCTAAGTAATGCTTTGTCTTTTGCTTCGTATGTTTAGGAATTCCTCGTCAGCGTGCGAATTCTGCAGAACCCAGGTCAAATTATTTTGTACAAAAACTTTCCAAATTGGTTTTAAATGGGAGTAGCCCTCAACATATTCCTTATCCCAAGGATTCGACCGTGGACCACAAGTCGTCTGTACAGCCATCCAAGTTTTTTAATCCTTTCTCTCGTCTGGGTTTTCTGAATAAAAAGAAGAAGCCTGCTCAAGTTAAAGTTGTATGTAATATTTAACTAATGGATTCTGTATTGATTTTGGCTAATATTTGCAATTTTACCACTCATTCACTCAACAACATTATTCTTTCACATGATTTCATTATGGATTTTTAATACTGTGGCACAGATGTCGCTGTTCTAATAAATGAGAGAGCTGCTAAGCATTCAAGACTAAGATCTAAAATATCTTGGGTCATATCAGTGTATCAAAAATTAGGTCTATTCGTCACATAACATCTATCAGGTTAAGACAGTATACTGCATAAATAAAACTTACTCTCAGAAATCTTCTATGTGGTGAAAAAGCTAAGTTGTTGGTTGTAAGACTAATATTCGATACTAAATACGTACGTTTAGATGATTGCGAGAAAATTATCAATATGCGTCAATTTTTATAAAACGCCAGCAGAATATGTTTATAGCAAGCCTTCTCCATTATTTATACTACATGAAAACACCTTTGATGCTTTTATTCGATTCATTATGTATACATTTATGTCAGTTTAAATGATCCCACATCAGCACCTTGATTATTTATCTCTTCTCTAATTACTTGTCAACACATAATCAATAACTTTGTTCACGTATTGATTAACACTCATAAAATACACAGACATGCTCCTCACCTATTATTCATCAAATTACTCTCTAGTGTGCTTGACTCTCGTTACCAATACTCACTAACCCCGATAACTAGTGTTCTGGTTTTTTAATTATTTTCAAGTAAATTTATATTCATACTTAGAAAACTAACCTACGAAAGTACGCCACTAACGGGACGATACACTGGAGTCAGAAATATATGGTCGAAATAACCACTACGTACTTACTTCAATTACTTGATTATAGCCACATTGTTCAGAAAGAAGAATAAAGTGTAAGGTGTAAGAACTAAACCATTGTCTCTATCTTTCGCCTAAATTTTATATTCCGACAAGTAAACCTCTCACTTAACGGACTGAATTCGAGATTCAAAGTTATGGTATCACCGTTTTTTTTCTGAAACAGTCTTTAGTTCTAAGGTGAATGCTTGGAGTGTTGAGTGTCATTTAGAACAGTAATCCATTTATATCTAATCTAATGAAATTTATTTTCTAGTCTCTACCAATTAGTAAACTACAGACTTTCCCACTCAAACGTTTCACGATAGAAACGAGAAGTTTATGTATTGGGATAGGCTAAAGGGAATTATATATTATATCTTCCAGCGACTTTATTGTGTTATGAATCAGACGTTACCATTACCAGGCATTTCCTAAATTTAGTGCTCTATATTGCTTTAAATTCCTATCCAAACTGTTGATTAATTAACCTTCGGGAAAAAACACGTATTGGTATTTATAAACACTTTTGATATTGATTTTAGTTCCGTCTGCAAATAATGTCTTTTCTTTTTACAAGCCACCATTGGATTTTTCTCAATCGTATACTGAATTGATTTTGGAACTTGCTTACACTTCAAACTTAACACGTCAAGTGATTCGACCATTTAATCGTTGCCATTTAGTAAACCAGTTAACTGAATGTGCACGCTTAATTCGTGGACGTATCGCATCTGGCGCTGCGTGTATCCAACTTCCTTTACTGGCTGATTCCGAAAAGAATGAGCAACTTATGAGTGACAAGTGAGTATCGTTTACTGTTGATAACTGAAAACATTTGCTGTATCTTTTCATTTCCAAGTTACGCTAATTGATTACTAGTTAATAAATGCTATGCTATCCACTCTTCAGCCCTGATAATCCCTCAACCAAGTGACAAAAATCTCAACGCAATTTGTCTGAATCCAGCAGTTCATAGTGTTTTTTCAAGGATAAGATGACATCATTGCTTATAACTTCGTATATATCGTTTTCTGTGACGTATGCTGTAATATATTGTTTTTTATTACAATTTTATTACTGTTTGGTTGGTATATGAGTTTACCTATTCTATTATCGGTATCTAAAAATGATGTTTATTGTATAGCATTTGGAAATTCGAAAAAAAATCATCTAATGTTGGATTTCATTCTTTGGCAAAATATGCAATACTTAATCCAGTGTTTATTTTCTCCAAATCCTTGACGCATTATTAGCATTAAGCCACAGCCCTTGAAGTTCACTTATCAAGAATTATCAGGTATTAATTAATAATTTCTCTTCTTTGATAAGTACAACATACAAGTGTACCTGTGAATAAACTAAAAACCGCTGAGTTCTTTTATGAAACTAGCTGTTAAGCTATTGACTGTGATGTTGTCGTTTTTTCATTTTTAGTTTGGTCATGCTGCTTTGACGAGTACGAAATAAGATAAATTACCCATTTAACACTTATTAACATCTGATAGTTCGTGTAAATACAGTGACTAGAGTTTGAATGTGTTTTCAAACTGATAGAATTTTTTTTTTCATAATTTGGTCTGAAATGTATCCATTATTTTTGTAGATACAGGAAGAAGAATTTGTGTTGAAAGTTCCCACTTCTTTTCACTAAGTTATAACTTGATTATCTTAAAACCAGAAATTTATGTGTTTACAAGCTACTTTTAATCTTTACATATATTTGTAATTCAAAGAAATGGAAAATTTAATCAGTAGGTTAGTAAGCGAAAATAATTGAACAAATCTACCGAATTACACAATGTATAGCATTATGACTACTACGTCATGAGTTTATTATAGTATTTGTCAAATGACTCCACTTTTCCCCCAAAAAATGTTTATTTATATCAAACTTTCGTCTTATTAAATCGTGATTATTCTTATTATTTATTAAGGAACTTTTTTTTGCTGGAATGTATCTCCATGGTGATATGACTGATATTTGCTTGTACAACCCTGAGGATTTATCTATTTATGTGATATACTGCAATAAGTCATATTCCCTAGCTACCAGGGAAATTCCAACTTTTCAGAAAAAGGAAACACAATTAGCTGTAAAGAACAATTGATTTCATTATTGATGTTAATTTCAAAAACATAGAAACTATATGCTAATTTGTATGAACATTTTATGATGTAAGTTTCAGCAAGTTATGATTCAGGCTTCAATTTTGTCGAGATTGACAATCAACCAAAATAGCGAAACCTGTCCAGATTGCCCAAATTATTGATTTCATCATTTTCTATTTCCCAAATCTCTCTTATAAATGATTAGTAAGTAGACGAATGTATAATTAATTTTTCCAGTGGATAAATAGAATACATTTTGTCTTTTGAAATTTAGTCTCTGTTATCGAAAACCTAAGTTATAATTAGCCGGAGTGTAAATAGATACACTCATATATTTCATAGATCTTTGAGTATGAAATACGTAAATGTATGTACCATAACAACTACTGACGCAGTGAACTGGTCGTGACTCAGTATAACTGATTTTATGTTTGTGCGAATTCATGTTTAGTGGTGACCGCGTTGAGATTGACTATGATCATCACTTGATACTAATTACTAGCCTATCAATGAAGTATAAGTAAATCCAGGATAAAGAATATATTTGAAGGAGAAAGTGGGTGTTATAAAGAGCAGCATGTGACGTATGATGGCAACAACACAAACTGAAAGTTGCGCGTAAGTAAGTGTTTTTAGTACAGTTAAACGAAACGAGTACAATAATAAGTGTTTCCTTTTCGGCATTTGCGTTTTCTTTGTAGGAGTATTCCACTACTCATCTTTGTAACGATTTAGCTACAGTTTCTAAAACCCGAAACTCAAATAGTGCTTAATTAAAGAATACTACTAAGAACAACTGCCTTGACCTAAAAGCGTATTAAGTCTACCCTTGATACTCTTATTAATTAAGGAATTAGGCGTAGAACTAAGCAGATACCCCTTCAAGCGAAACTGAAGTGTGTGGTTAAACCGTAATCTTCTTTTCAGATTGTAATATTATGGATACATTTGATAGGATAAGTATTCAATGAAATATATTATTTTTTCCGATCTGCTCGACAAATGAGTTCTGCATTTAGCGTGGTATTTGATGACTATCCTCTTGATTAGTGATAGATGTTTCTCAAATCATCAGTTAACAACCATCAGATCTATGCAAAAAGGAAATCGTTCTCACTTCTTACATCTGCCAGGTGATATCACATTGATAAGTACGTGTGGGTAATGTATAGAAAAATGAGAAGCAGTATACATTTATAATATATGATTCTGAAGTTTAATTTGATATGGCTTGTATTCTCAGTTGACACAGTCTGAATAGTAAATCAGTCAGTTAGTCAGAAAAAATATACCATAAGCTCAAGTTAGCACATCACGTAAGAACAGTGTAATTAAATTATATAGATGAGTACTACAGTAGTAGTTTCAGTGATAGTCAAAAGATCACACAGAAAGAATGGTTTGGGAGTTTGAATGTTAGGTCCTCTAATACATAGTTTGAAATCAGGTCACACAAAGTTTGTGATACCATTCTGTAAGTTGGAGTTTCTACTACTTTCTGAGTATTTGTGTAAGTTGGAAATGTTGCGCCAGTAGTGCTGTCAAGTATATACTATGGTGTAGTGATTAACAAGAACTTAATTTGTTTTGTAAAGTGTTTTACATGGTTTGTGCTAGAAACATACTGGTGATAAACATCTGTCGGTCCCACACTATAGAAGATTTTGTTCTTGGAAAAGCTAAAAGCAAAAATGAAGTTAACGTCCATAGTTTTATCCACCTGCGAACTGAAATGGCGATCCAATAAGATAATCCCGTTGATACAGAGTATCCTATTAAAGCTCTCGCTTCTTCATTTTGAAATTTATTCCAACCAGATTATCAGAACAATGTTTTGTAGCTTTTTCTATAAATCCATCTGTATTATATTCATTTTTGCACAGTAGAGCATTTTACTCCAGTGAGACTCGTAATTTAAATTCACAGTAGCCTATGTTGCAGTATAATCAATAAATAATAATAATAATAGTAATAATAATAATAATAATCAAAAATGCGATAAAAAAGACCCATTTCAGATTGTCTATTTGCCTTTCTTGTTCACTTAAATATTTATTTTGACCTAATTTATGACTTTTATCTCCTAATAAATATTGATCAAACCGAATAAAATATTTTAATATCAAGCAGCTTAAATTTACCCTAAACCTATATATTTTATTACTTATACTTACAGTCAGTTGGCATATGTGTTAAACCTTAATTTTCTTGACTGGTTAGCAAGTATGGTGAGTGTAGAACATGTAACCCAATCATTTGAAATCAAGTCAATAAATCTTTAACAATTTACTCATTCGATTCTTGAGTTACTTTTCTTTAATTTGCTTGGATTCATCATCATGTTTCACACGTCTGTCGTGTAGATATTTTCACCTATATACTGATTAAATGTATCTCGTTTACCTGAGGAAGTTGGTTTCAGAATAGATTCCTAAGCGATAGTGAAGTTCAGTCCCACTTTTTAACACTTTAGTCAATTCAGTGCACATATCTTTCTTGTATTCTACTTCTTTGAATAGTTCAATAATCTGAAATCTTTTTTTAAAATTGCTATTCAAAATCATCTAAACTCACCAGGATAATTATTCAAAAGCATCAATGAGAACACCAATCAATTTTGCTGTATTCTGTTGTTTAGCTTTCCTTGATGAAATCAGTCATACTACCAAATCTCTTATTCTGTCTCTTACCTGTAGGCTAATATATCCTTTCTTCAGAGTTCCAAGTTAATAAAGAGTGTTTAATGAACAAAATCAATACCCACTTTTTCATACTTACATTCGTTTCCATTTTGAACTGATTGGTTGTGACAAATTACGTAGAGCGGAGTATCTTTAATTTCTTTTTACAACAATTGTCGTATGTCACTTACCTTATGTGATAACTGAAAACACTCGTTTAATTATTGTCCGGTCATGCTGTCACAATTTAACATCTTAAGCACCTACGTGTATTTATATAAAGCTACTAATATGCAAATAAGGCTTATTAAATAGGCCAGTTTTGTACAGATTTTGTATAGACTCAAGGTGATTTTCATTACAAACATCTTGATCACTTAGAGTATCATTACAGCTCATAGAGCTCTTGTTAAATGTTTCTTTCTCGTTTGACAAAAGTCAAAAATACAGACTATTAAACTCCAAAAAATTGATAAACGAAATTCTATTTGTGACTGCTGTGAATTTTGTATTCGATATTTTCGTTGTACATTGTTTAATAATCTTAGAATTTTCAACGAAAATCTATTTAATTCTTATTGGTTTTCAATATTGCTCTAGTTGATTTCGATTCATAATGAGTGAAAACTACCTTTTTAATTCATATACTTTATCCTATTCAGATTATAAAAATTAACAACATATCATTCATCATTGAATTTGAGATAGATCGTTTTCTTTTATCTTGTACACTTGGTTACCAGTTATGACTGAAATTAATTTTGAAAAAAAATAAACAAATTACTTTTTTATTGCCTATTGTCCATTATCCAAGTGATTGTAGGTTTATATTTAGTGTTCTTCGTATACGTGTGCATGAATATTTATTATTGTTTTGCTTTTTTGTCTTTCATATCTATTACGTTCTACACTTTCATTTTGTATTTGTTTACAATTTTAGAGAAAATCTGTCAATTCCACCCATTTTTAAAAATGACCTTATTTTTCATGTGATTACCGACTCTATATTTCTTTACTCTTTTTGTGTTTTTATTTTGGGATTTTCTTACATGTAATCGATGCTGATTTCATTTTAAATTTTCACTGTGGTTTGTTTATTGTTGTAAGAGTTGATTGAGTCTTCTCATATAAAGCATAATGTTAAATAGTGATAATTACTGATTGATTTTATCTTTATTGTTCTCATAAAGTGTATTCCAAAGTAAAAAGCATTTGTTTTATTGGTGGACGTTCTAGTTGTCTATTTCACTCGAAGTAGCTATCAAGAAAAGAACATATCTGCTACTTTTCTTTTATTTATCTTAAAGTTCCATTCTTATGGTGAAAAGATGTGGAATAAAAATTAGGGTCATCCTTGTGAAGTAGATACAACGTCAATTAGCTTAAAGTTCATTCATGCATAAGAAGACACTCAAGATCGACACTGAGTTAGGAATAAATTGTTAATTATGTGTTAATACTTTTCGACTTATCAGATTTTTTTGGATTTAATTAATAATCTCTATTGGGGGTTGTGTTTGAAAATTTCTAATTACAACCTGCTAGTGTGCTATGTAGGAATAACTAACACTGAAATTAGATGATACTGTTGTCGTGACAGATCATTTGACTGATAAATTAGTGAACTAACATTGGTGGTCATTTCGATAATTCACTCACAAGGTCGATACTTAAATCCTAACTGATTTAGGTTTTAAAGTCGGAATCACTGGTCTGCTATGTAAGTATATTTTTTTACGTAAGTTAAACATTATGGTGGACAAAATATTCAGCCATAATATTTGTAGCAATCACTTGTTTGTCAGCTGAGAAATAATTGACCCAAAATGAAAATAATGATCATTTAACAGCCTATGATTAACTTTATCTCGTGTTCTGTGAATTTTATTTGTTGAAATTAGAGCCCTGACTACCATGCTTACCGAATAAATGAAGTTAATGTCTTCTCAAAACCATTTTAAAATGTATTTTTATCTTGATCATTTCCTATCTTTCGTCTCATATTATTTCATCAGTTTTGTGTGTATTTTATCGCATTCTTAACGTTAAACAGCTAGTTTATGAAACTTTGAGTTTTTAAAAATTATTTTTATTAGTTTTCATCCTTCACTATTATTGGTATTCAGAACAAGGTTTGTCGGTGTTTGCTTAAATGTGTTGTTTGCATCTGTTCCTCATTATATTCTGTTTACATCATTGCAACGTTTTCTGTTTATCTCTGATTATTCAAAAACATAGTTTAATAAATAGAGCTAAAAACGTGCAAAATTCAACTTACAATCTCTAATCTTACTATCTTCAGTATATTTTGTCAATGAATGACATGCCCTGTTATAAATTCTATAATAATTTCATCAACATATATTAGGCTTATGGGCGTGTACGTGTTTATGAGTGTGTGGTATTGTGTTTGCGCATGAATCTGCCTAATTATATGTTGATTGAGACAAGACTGTATTCGGATGCATCAGATGAATGTGAACAGACATGATATTAATATACGTTAGAATTGTCTGCTGTCCCATGTGAAAGATGTGATTAGCGTCTCGGTGTTCAGTATCCCATTTATTGGATGCATTTTCTTACCGCCTACACTTATACAATTTTCTGTATTTTATCTGGATTATAATATTCGGAAGCACGCTCGCCTTTGCATTATCTTTAACACTACACATTGATAGTGTGTTAATTTAAACTGTCGTTCAAAGGCGATACAGAATACGGATTTGCCATCAACTATCAGGTATGAATGTAATATACGGGTGAACGTTACTGAGGGAAAGTAAAGGCTATCTTATACTGAAGGATGGTACACACGTTTCATTAGTTTATTTATGTGATTTAAGCGATTCCTGTTTTTTTTGGTTTGCTTGCTTTACGAGAATCACATGATGTTCACGTTACGTAAAGTTGTTCCTTTTTTGGCAAAAAACATTAAAGACTGACTTGTAACGTATATTTTAATCTAATTAGTGAATTTTACATTGTCAATTCATCTTACCAATAAATTACCATAGTGACACTTTTATTTCGTTGTTTTTCAATAACAGTATTACTAGTATGGTTTATCATGCTGGTATGTCTGTTTATCATAATTTAAATACCATTATGACTGACTGTTTGAATGAGTAATTCATTGCTTATTATATGAAAATAGTTACCATATCTAAGATAGTTAACAGACATTCGTATTCATTTCAGTCGTTTTTATTGAAAGTTATCTTTGTTTTCTAAAGTGTATCACGTGTTTTACAATTTAGTGACAAGTCCCACTATTCCACGGTAAAATGTCATTTAGAAAAAAATTTAATGAGTGTTTATTTAGAAATATGAATCATTTTATGTTAAGTACTATGCATTGTGTTATTTGAAATCGTGTATCAGGTTGTGACATGGTCTGACTTTCAATGCATAGGTTCCAAACATAAAAGTCTTTTTAGCTACCTCGATTTCATACATCCCCTAGTATTATTACTAATCCTCACATCACATGTTTTGTTCAAAAACTACCAGTAAAGCTAAGTTTAGTTACATTAGAAAAAAAGGCTAGTTGAATTTGTATAAATCTGTTTGCGTCTCTACAATTTGGCAGAGAGATGTACAGACGGTACAACTAAATTAATTAGACTCCAAGGCATTAAATCATTAAAAAAAATTATCCTAACGTAAATTATTGAGATGCAAATCAATAGGTCGGTCATCCGCAACATAGAACTTGGTACGTACGTACATTAGTGCAAGTTACCATAGCACATTAGCACAGAGAAATGAAATTGTCAGTTTAACTCCCATCGTAGTAGAGGTTATAGCAGTATTGGCGGTAATGGAAAGGATTATTGATCAAAGATATGACTCAAAATGTTTAAATCAGTGAAATAAATTTAAAAGGAAAAAAGAAAAGTCATGAGTAGTTCAAAAGATTATAATTCGGATGCATCAACGCCATTGTAAGCGATTCTCAACGGCTCTAACCTTTGGTTAAGATACAGTTAGATAGTTTACTGTAAAAAAAAATAGCCAAAACTGAATTTTCTAGTTTTTGATAGAATTAATGTTAGATTATTTAAAAGTCATTTCTATTTTTCCCATTGAATCAAGTGAACTAAATTTATAGAGAATAATAATGAAGCGAACATTTTTCAATCTGCTTTTATAACTATATCACACATTACTGAAGGCAATAAATCTATCTTACAATAATTGAGTTTCACTATGATAATAACCAATTTAATACTTTCATTATAATCTCTTAGTTTTATTCAAATAAAACATTTCCATTGAACATGATTATTTAATTGATAAGATTAAGATGATTGAGAAAAAAAATACAGTTGGAAAATTTTCTGTATGATTAAGTCATGATATAAACCAAATGGAATATGAATTCAATCAAGTTAGAATATTTGTCAAATCATTGTCCTCCAATTTTTTTCCCCAACCGAAGAAAAATTAGCCCTTACAAATTTAACCTTAATAATAATTTCACTGGTGAAATAATACATTTATTGATCATGATTATGATTTTAATTCCTTGCGTTCATTTGTTTCACCATTACCTAACTATCTACATTCATTTTCTTTCATTTTATTATTAAAGTCGTATGATTATGGCTAAAATTAATCAATTCAACGAAGCTCATATATTATTTACTGATTGGATTGATAAACTGTCATCAGCACCATTTGTAGTAAACACATTTGGTCCAACAGTTGTTCAACCTACTGATGGCAATGTTCTTACAAATGAACAGATTCTCTTATCAAAATCAAATTATTCTGTACATGATGCTAATTTACTACAAGATTTACAATGTGACGGTGAATTGTTATTCTGTCAACTTCAATCATGTGCTTTGGTAAGCAATCTTTGTTGACATTCTAATCAATGTCTACGTAGAACAATTTTCATTTGATAAAATTGTTTATTTCCAAATGAAGAATTTTTTTTCTCTTTCTATTCTGTTTACTTTTCTATGCTGTAACTGATTGAATAAATAAATAAATTCTGCATAGATTTTTCCAGCTGCCAAATCTAAGCTGAAGTCTTAGCATAAAAATATATTAAGACAAATTTCACATACATTCAAATCATAGATTTTATATTAACGAAACTGAATTGTATATTAAATGATATGCCAAACTTTTCAGTAAATACCCTCATGAGACATTTTAATTTTATTCTTATTTACCAATTAAATTGGATAAAAAGGCAACTAAACTTTCTCACACAGAAATACCGATGAACAAACGTACAAATATGTTTAGTTATCATCAATCACATTAGTTATGTACAATTATTATCGATTAGTAAGAATATAAATTATGTAAATAAAGTCAAAAAATTAACAATAATTTGATAATTATTTCTACCGAATAATTAACTATCAGCTTGTATATTGCTCTCAAATTTTATTGATTAGTTCATATAACACATCTAAACTCTTTGTGTAGCTTTATCTTTCGTACAATCGATTATTAGATAATTACTCATACTATACGGATTCATCTTAAAAATACATTTGGTTAAACCGTTTTTCGTTACTCTATTGTATTTCTTCTTATTCTGTAATAACTTGTGTTACAGTAGCTGTACCTAGGCATTCTTCGTAGGATACACGTATGCCAACCAAAACTGATTTTATTCCAGTCAAAATGTCAACAACGGGATAATCCAAACTATTGCATTATATCGTCTTAGTTTCAGCGAATTGTTATCTGTTTCACTTACCAACATTGTTTTGTCATTTATAAATAAATCATAGATACTATGTTAAGTTACTTGATGTTATCTGTGTGTATAAGTAAGAAGGTAAACAAGATATCACGTGTAAATGTTGAAGTCATAAATAATTTGAATTTTATCTCGTGTGTAGTATTTACTATTTGGATTTAAACTTACTACGACACGTAACGTATAAAAAGCATATCGGCGTATGTATAAAACCCCGGTAATTTTTTAAACGACTCTTTCTGGACATTTAACATTCAGTTCCGATTCTCAAGCTCGCGAGATTGCTTTGTAGGCTCGTTGTCTCCTTGAGGATACTGGAACTCGTGTAGACATTAACAGCTCTTTCGCACGGACTTTTAATCCTTACTTCATATATTCCCTTTCAAACATAGGATTATATTCTTTTTTTACTCGATATGGTTTAGCGGAAAATTTTATTGACATAATAGAGGTCAATATCAATGGAATTTTATTAGATATTGTTAACTTCTGTTCTCTTTCATTCCCGCTAATTATTATTTTTTTGTTTTTTAATTTCATGAAATCTTCAATGGGATTATTTCAATGTAACTAATGAGAATAGGTTTCTTCCGTTATCTCGCTTACATACAAAATGTTTTAATTTAATCACAACCTTTTTTTTCTGGTGAAAATTTTGTTTATAATTTCTAACTGATAATTATCGGGACAGAAAACAATGTGGAAAGAAGAGAGAAGGAATTAAAATCAAATTTAACTAATTACTATAAAAGAAAATGGTCGTAGTTGATTTATACCAATATACACTTGGAGAAAGAGAGATTTCGACTCACTAAAATTGGAAACACTATTTCGTTTTAGCGTTTAGAATTTTTCTGAGGAACAATTTCATCAACCAACGTAAAATTGATCATTCAAGTGTCGTGATGTTAATGTCACTGTTTAGACATGAAGTTGCATTCTCAGACCAGTCCATTTTTGAAGTGTAACATTCAATGTTACACATAAGTTACGTAATAATTAAACGATTGTCCACCGATTCAATATAAAATAGTGGGCGTGTATGTTTCTAAATTATGTCACATGAGAACGATAGCTATCGAGTGTCTCCTCGTCTTCATTGGCCTTTTGGCTATTGTTACTTTATATATATATATATATATATATATATATATATATATATCAGTACCCAATCTCTTTACTATTGTTTTCTGTACATTGTGCATAATTTTTTCTCTAGGCTGTATTTGAATTACTCAAAAATGTTGGCTATACCACGTTTGTTGAACCGTCATGTATGGAGGCTTCGCTATATGAAAGTTGGTCAGTGTGTGTACATGTTTAAATTAAAAATTATTTATGACTATTTTTCTTTGTTACCAACAAACGATTTTTTCTTATTGGACAGTGTTTGTAATTTATCATTTCGTAATTCACTGAAACTATGATTCATTCATTTTATGCTGCAGCAAATAATTTTACACAAATATCAATTTTAAGAAATTATTTTTCGAGAAATTAATTTTCATTAATGCATAAATCGTTGTGTACACTCTGTTTTCTTACTATTATCACTCAAAATTCTGCCTTCACTGTATGAACATACAAAACGGATTATAAGAAAAGTATTCAACTTTATTACTCGATGTGCTTCATGTAGCGGTTTTATTCTCATTTCTGCTCACATACCTCTTTCCTAAAAACTTTCATTTTTAATGTTTCAGAAATAAATAAGTTCTTTCTGAGGTATTGAACAACATTAGACTGTACTTCATGTCACTGTCAACTTGCTTAACTCACTATTAAAATGTAAGGAGATTTGATTGAACTGTTTCTTAAATTAATAACTGTTCTACTATAAGATGTGCATGAAATGTTTTCTAGTTCGGTTTACGATATTGTTCTCCCGTTTCTTCATGTTTTAGTTAATTGTTTGGTTAAATTTTGTTTTATTTAAAGAGTTCATACATAGTTTTACCAACATTGAACATTCAATTCGTATTATTAGATAACATTTAAATTACTTGATATTTCTCATATCTATTCTACATCAAAGGATCAAATTAGATCCAATTATTTAAGTTTATTTGCGTAAAATTTTCTTTTTATGCTTACTTACTATTGGTGTTTGACATATTCGATATTTCGTCAAACATTATTCTTAATCTATAGAAGTCTAATTTGGTTTAGAATTGAATGGATTTTTAATTTCCAAAGTCTCATACAATTTGCTTTAGAACAAGTGATGAAAATAATACTTGAGTTACGATTGGATGTCAGTAAAAAAATTATTCTCATGGACTGAAGTACTACAAGTAATAGGCTAAAATCAACGCTAATAATTACTTCAAGATGTCTTGAAAATTGGAAACATTTATTGTATCAATAAATATTGTTTATTCGAACTCAGTAAACACCTAATCCAATCAGATAGTTTCATAAAATGATTGTTTGCAATCCAAAATTTGTTAAAGATACAACTAACTACCTAATGATAGTTGCTTTTAGCGTATCATTTGTTTAGTTGAGTTATGTATCCAAAAATAAACCGCTAAGGTTATTTACAAAAATTTTTTCTAAATAAATGTAATGGTCATCAAAATGAGAAAGTTTTATCAGTTACATTGACGTCATACACAATCTGCAATTGCATTTATTTTTGTCGATATCGTAGAGAGTAAAATTAAAATAAAAATAGCCTTCTGATTGTTAAAGCTTGATATAACGTCAGCTAATCACGTCATTAATAGTTTTAGCCTGTTTTGTATCAATGTCTATTTTGATGGTCTAATACATATGGGACACAATACAATGTTTCTCATTCATTCACCTTCATTTAATACAATTACAACAAATTTCTCTAGAAAATCTTTGTCTTTGATCATTAATCCCTTTAGCAGTTCTGATCGAATTTTTGTTAGGCACTTTTGTTGTGATCATTTTAAATATTCTTATTGATTAATCAACTACTTACTAGTATAATCGTAACACCCTCATGGTTGATTTCTTACTAAAAATGTCATACAATGTTAATTGTTCTCAGTTGGTTAAATTTTTTTTGCCTTTTTACTTTTAAATAACACCATGTCGATATTCATAAATCGATTGTTTTCTTAGTTGCCATTCAAATCGGTTTCTTTTTTACCATTTATTTATAATACTGGTAATGATATATGGATAGATATGCTTTCACAAAATAATGCTTATTTCATTGATGCAAATATTAGTTAGTAATGAATTGATAATTCTATTTTTGAAATGATATTTTGTGTTTTCATCAAAATAATTATTCTTGTTTTATGGTCCTATTGATCTTTTTTGATACATATCAACAGCTGTTGTCATTATGTTGTGACCGAATTCACCTATCGGGGCTATTAATCTGATCAGTACTGACCATAACGTTTTTTTTTATAAGATGTAGAAAATGTTCAAACTAAGAACTTATGCCGTTATAAAATAAACCATTGACATTTAAATGGATAGGTAATTAGATAACGATATCTTATTACTCATTTAAAACTAGCTCCGTACTAACTCTTGCCTCTCTATTCAATGACGACAATGATTATCTTCTGAAGTTTTTCCATTTTAATTACTGATCTCTAATCACAACTAATCTTTTACATAAGTCAGTTGGCAGCGTTTTCACTGACATATCTGTTTAAACAGTTAGATTATGTAGTTATCGCTCATCTTCGTGTAGAATCAGCTGAGAATTTGTATTATATGTGTGTTCTTTGTTTACGGATTATTATCTGTTTGAATAAATCTGTAACTGAATGAGTGTACTAGTGTTGAATTAAGAATATTATAACTTTCGTCAAGGAGACATCATATATGAAAGATGATTCAAAACATCTATGCAGTCAGAAATTATGGTAATTTACTGTATATAACACTATACTTATTTCCTGAATTGTGTTCTGATAACTACAGATAATATATCCTTATTACATCCAAATATCTGCTTAATCTTTACCACAACGACAATACAGATTATCATAATAATTCACTTAGCATTTAAGAGTTAATAACTACTCAATGACAGATCAAGTGGTAGTTCGTATGTACTGATAAGTTACTTTATATTGCCATATAATCATAAAATTGTTTCGTTTTAATTTTGGTGTAGCAGTACGCAAAATGAATCTATTCCTGCTCATTCAGACAAAAATGATCATGAGATTGAAAACTTTGGTACGGAATTTCTTGGTCATTCTCAGCGTAATTCACATAACAATACATCAATAAAAAGTTCAAGTGTATTCACTGAAGAAGATCGTGAACTATTAGCTAAATTATGGCGTTATTTAGATCCTACTAGTAATGTATTAGGCAGCAGTTCACCACCACCAAAACCTCCATTACCTAATTTATGTCCCTTGAACATTCCATTCTCTGATCGTCGCACAGATTCAATTATTTCCAACAATCAATCTTCTCAACTTAGTATCAACCCATATGATGATCCAAACTTGTTAGCATACCTGTGTACAATTGCTTCTACTGCTCAACAAAAGTATCCTTCAAATTCAAGTCCGAATAAGAAAAATTCGAATCGTCAAAAAGAATTTTCATTGCCGCCTACTAGGTATGTTTTTTTTATACCATCTTGAATCAAAAACAAGGTCATTTTTTTATAGTATTTCATTTTCAAGTTTTCTTTGTAAAATTATTGACCTTACTATGCCTTATTCACTTTCTTTCTATCTTCTTAAAATCAGATTAGATTTAAATGCAACTGACCACTTGAGTTTCCCGTTAGTCGATGAGTCGGATCCAAGTGATCTAGAATCAAATTTAAACTATCCTAATAATCTGAATAAATTAAAACATTCTTGTACAATACAAACACCAAGTTACAAACCTAGCACGGCATCGTTTTCCATTACAGATGCTTCACGTTCTGTAATCAGAAAACTTAAATTACCTACTAGACAAAATGACAAAGTTGATCATGTTGATAAAACACCGTTAAATTCAACAGACTCTAACGGAAAGTTTTCACATCTTTATTCCAATAGAGTAAGTTATTTTGTGTAATAGCATTTTTTGTTGTTTTTTTTTATTCAAATTTTGTCAAATACTTCTATAATTATGAGCATAGTTTCTGATTAACATCTCTTGGATATATTTTAGACATAAAACTCATCATCACGCAGATTTACAACATTTGTTCAACTTATTTTAGTAATTAATAACAGGTGAATGACTAACTCTATTTCGTTTTATTCTATAACAAATCTTTTCAGACATAACAAAGGTAAACAGTTATTGTTTAAGAAGCATCGTTCGTTTTTATGCAATGCATAGATTGTATAGATCATGTATTACTCAGTTTCACAGTAACAGTGTGAATAACAACTCTTGAATGATTATTATGTTTACATTTGAAAATTCTGCTAACCTTTGTCAGATTATATATTAATTAACAAAGCACAAAATAATATCTGTAACTAACCTATTGTCTCCTTAAACAATGGCTAACCTATTTCAGTGTTTTTTTTTAATTTTCTGCGACGTTGCTTCACTAGTAGTTGTCATTTTCGTGTTCTGAATTGAATTTATTTAATACGGTTTTCGAAACCACTGAATTTTAGTCATACCTATGAACAGTGAAATAATTTATCTCATCCATTTATCCAGTGAATGTTTATAAAGTCTATATTAAATTTAGTCAAATCATTTAAAGAATACATGTCGATAGGACTGTTCTTTATGCCTTAGTACTTTAAAACTGTACAATGAACAAAAAGAGATATTTCCAACTCACCTGAGGCCTATTATTACTCTTAAAAAAATACAACGGGAACTTTTATTCTAGTCTTAGTTCAACTAAATATTTTGTTTGCATTATTTCTGTCAGTTTTTCTTGTTATTTGATTCAATTACATAATTATAGTCTACTGTAAGTTTTCCTGAGTTGAATGTCGTGGCTTTACTCTTAATACATGAAATTGAAAAAGTTATTTAGGGTTTAAGGAACAGTTAGCAGTGGACTATATCCCGTTGTTGAAAGATTGTAGATTCTTCATAATTTGATTCTAAAAATTTGTTTCTATTTTTTGAATGCTAAATAACCTTTTTTAATATGACCAGCAGGAGAACTTTGAAAGTAAAAACTTGATTCTATTCGGGTTACGAATTCTTGTGTCTATTTGAATATACGGATACTTTATAAATAGTAAAAACGGTTTCATGAACCAACTTTAAATTTACTGTTATTTTCATATATTCTTGTATTTAGAAATCATCATCCAAACTGAAAGATTGTAAATACTGGTCAACATCAATGTCGTCAACAGATTCAAATAATCCCCTCAGTGATAGTTTAATGCATGAACAAGTAGCAAAAATGGTGATGCATTTACAAGACAACGATTCGTGTACTTCACATCAGGTGATATATAGTTGTTTTTCCTTGTTAAAATACTAATTTTTGTGAAACTAAATATTTGCTATATAAGTTATGCCAATATACGAGTATATCATCTATTTTGATTAGATTTTCTCCTATATTGCTTCATGTATATGATCATTGCTAAATTCAGTCATGTATATATGTTGATTTTACCGTAGACTATCACTTTTCGACTTAAATTACCCTCCTATTTTTCGCTAACTTAATTCTTCCCTCTTGCAATTATTGATGTTTCCTGCAAGAAGTTTACTGTTTTTCTGTTTATCAGACAATCTTTTAGAATACACTTCGATATTCTTATTTTGGTTGAATCCACTAATCAATCGATGTTGAACCACCATTATAAACCTGGAAGCATTGGATGACAGTTTCACTCTAGTACAGGACTCATCAGCTGCTAGCATCCACGATTTCACAGACAAGAATCGAACCCAGGACCTTCGGTCTCGTTTGCGAATGCTTAACCTCTAAACCCCTAAGTCGGCATCTAACGGTGTTAACACCTAACTTCAATCAATCCACGATAATGCGCGACCTTATACGTTGTCTTCGGTGGGTAACTACCTCACACTCGATACGGTTAAACTCCACTGGGATCGTGGATGCGCAACACTGATGAGTCTTATACTACAAAAAAATAGCTGTCCAGTGGCTTACGGTTTCTATTGGTGGTTTAACATTGATTGATTCTTGATTTCAATGAAACTCAACAATCTCTACTACCCTATAATGACATTATTCATTGTTTCTTTAGTGTTCTCCTAATTGAATTTAACCATTTCTATGTATAGACCCCTTTTTGACCTGAAATTATTGAAAAAACATCAGTATCGCTTGTAAAAACTAGATGATTCTATCACTAATTCTCACTTACAGCCACTACTTTAAAGTATATACACATCCTAGATCATTTCGTTTTATGTCAGTTGTATTGAATATTGAATAAAAGGTTATCTCAGAGTTGTGTGCCTACAAAACCAAATAAGTTCAGTATTCATCTGACTTTTTCAACGTTTTTACTCGTGAGTGGCTTATTCATAAACTTGAAAAGAACATAATTGGGAGATCTATTTAGACGTTGGTTTACTTATGCAAAGCAAGTTCATAACTCCTATATATATATATATATATATATATATATATATATATATATATATATATATATCAGCTGCTTCTTGATTAATATACTAGAACAGCTACCATAATCAGGTAGCTGCAATGAATCAGAAGACTATGAAAAGATCTCATTCAACCTAGTTTTGAATGTTTCCACACTCCTCTAATACTACTGATTTAGTTTTGGTTAATTTATGATCATTTAAACGTTTTTTTCTCGATAAATATATCTATACTTTTTAGCAAATGACATTTTGCTAATTTTTTCCATTGAGCTAAATTATACTATCCATGTCTACGTTAACTATTGGAAATAGAAAAATTAACTAGTAAAATAATATCATGCTGTTTGATTGGTGCTTTCGATGAAAAATGTTTGGAATTAGATAAATTATATATCTACTGTACGATGTATCTTTTTCTTGTCTAAGCTAGTCGTGCTCTTTTATTTGTTGCTGAAATGTATCGTTTTTATTATTGTAATGTATTTCATTGTTTTTATTCCATGGTATCACTAAATCATTTTCTGACCGTATTCTCTATGTTTAATTATTATTTCACTAACTAATCAGTTTTACCTTGCTGTACTTATGTAGTACAATATCTTAAACCGATACACATCTGTACCAAATTCTACACTGATTAAAATTGACTGATGTAACGTTTTTGATAATATTTAAAGTAATTACTTTGAGTAATCATACATATTAATATGTTATACTATTTTAGATAATCTATCATCTTTTAAGTTTAATTCCAATGAATAAGCATGTTGATCGTTAGCTAAAAGACTTCGATATTTTATCGTTTGTTACAACTCTATCAAGTACAAATGTGATGATTTACTACCAGTTAAACTTGTTTTTTATCAACAGACTAATAAGTAATGGGGAAGTGTGTCAAGCAGCTTATCACATAGTCCAGTAGAAATCATTCGCCTAAAACCTCTCAACCTAGTAAATAAACTAACATTTGAATTTCTAACATCAGAATTATTTCTAATCATCAATTGTGTTAACAGCCATAAGGGACCGAAGAAAGGAGGCCTTATAAAGTGGGAGAACTAGGTAGGAATTACTATTCCATCGATTTCAGGAAAGATGTTCAACAGAGTGTTGTTGTACCGAATGAAAGATTCAATAGACTCTAAACTTTGAGATTAGCAGCCTGAATTCCGTAAAGGTCAGTCATGTGACAATGCAGATCGTTATGGAACAATCATTTGAATAGAATGCGCCATTCTACATCAACTTCCCTGACTACCAGAAAACAATTGATAACGTGGATAGGATAACAGTATGGAGGCTTCTTCGACACCACGACGTGCCTGAGAATATAGTCAACATTATACCGAATTATTATGATGGACTAAACTGCAAGATCCCCTCACGATATCCTATGAGGGGAAGCACGGAATACAATGGACAGCTCGGGCGCTGCTAGATAATCTGGACTTCGCAGATGATTTGGCTCTTCTATTCCAAACGCAGTAACAAATGCAGGAGAAGGCGACCACAGTAGCCTCTGCGGCAGTAGGTTTCAACACGCGCAAAGGAAAAGAAGAGATCCTCAGATACAACACAGAATGCAACAATCAAATTACACTTTATGAAAAGCTTTGGAAGGTACGAAAATCTTTGCATATCTGGGCAGTATCACTGATAAACAAAGTGGATCGTATATAGATGTGAAAACACGGATCGGAGAACCAAGTGGAGCATTTCTACAGTTGAAGAATACCTGGAACTCCTAACAACTATTAACCAGCACCGAAGTCAGAATTTTTAATACAAACGACAAGACTGTTCTACCATATGGGGCGGAAACTTGGAGAACTTCGAAAGCCATCATCCAAAAGATAGGTGTTTAATAACAGTTTTCTATGCAAGATACTGAGGATTCATTGTTCAGACTACACCAGCAACAACCTAGTGTGGGAATGGACATACTAGATTCAGCTGAGAAATAAATTAGGAAGAAGTCCTGGGGGTGGATTGGACACAGATGTAGGAAACCGCCCAATTGTATCTCGGGGTAAGCCTTAACCTGGAAACTCCAAGACCAAAGGAGAAGAGGTGGACCAAGGAACACACTACACCGAGAATCGAAGTCAGGCATGAAAAGAATGAATAGCAGTCGGATAGAACTAGAAAGGAAAGTCTAGGTCAGGGTTGGTTGGAGGATGTTGGTCGGCGGTCTATACTCCATTGGGAGTAACAGCGTAAGTAAGTAGCAAGTGATATTATCCACCGATGTAAGTGGGGAAGAGGACTCGAAATTGTAACTTAGTGATCAAAATTGGAGCCTCGAAATTACTAAGTCATCGTTTTCGAAAAATATTGTTCAAACCGACAAGTGATATTTTTTCCTAATAAACAGTTTAGATACATTTTTGGAATTACAAATTTATCGTTAAGCTTACTCCACCACAGTTATAAAAAATGCATTTCATAGCTTTGTAGCCTTTATCTATGTCTATATATACTGCATGTCATGAAAGCTTGAAACGTTTGTCTAGAAAGTCGGACATACTATGTTTGTACTACACAACTTATACTTAAAAACTGGGGTTACATGTACGCAGGAATGAAATAACTTTTGATATTTATGTAATTCAACATGAAACTATCTTGTTATTGTTATAGATGATAGTGTTTTTACTAGTGTTAGTAATAATTCGAAATAATTGTTTTCTTTTATTAACTCATACCAATTCCTTATTCAATAAGTTTATATCACAATTTCAATTAATAATGTTGATTTGTTTGTTATTCTTTCAACTCCTTTCTTTTAATTGAGAATTCATTTACATGTTTACAGTATATCTCTATACACAATTTATTGCGTTTAACTTGTATTTGTTTACATAGCAAAATATTTATCTTTCTTTGTTTCAAATATCAATGTTGCCTTATTATAATATAATATAGGTCATGCATGTAATAAAAATGTTTTAATGTATACCGACATATTTACCTATTGGTACCATTCACTTCACACTTTCGATTTTTGTTAATCTGTTCAAGTTTTTCTTCTTCTAACATCTTTTGTAACTTTACAATAATTCGATTTGTTTTACTAGTGTTACTGTTTTTTTTTTGTTTTGCTTTTCACTATTGACCATGTCATTCTTTATTACTGGTTATTAGTTAGTTGCTAAATGATGATTCATCATAAAATCAAAGTGAACATCTATCGCATGTTTAACAACTATTTATATAGGTTATGTATTTTGTAATACAAATCAAAAATAAACTACATAAACCTTATACATTGTAATTTTGAAGATAAAAAAACCTTGTTTCACATGATCCTATTTTTTGGGCTTTCATTTCGTACAGTGGATTGTTAAGTATATTGTACTTGAAATAAACATTTCTAAAAATGTTAGCTACTATTATTCATATAAAGTAGTTTTAGATTGGGTAAGATAATGCACAATAGTCTTACCTGACATAGGTTCGAACCATGCTTCATCTATTATGGATTTGGTTGATAAATACTACTGCTAATCTTCATACAAAAACTATGATTTAATGTCTCTTAAAGTAACGATTACTTAGTTGTTAATTTAGGTGGATATTTATAACTCTAGACATTATCGATTCCTTTTATTCTACGCAGACGTTTTGAATTGACAAAATCAAAAAATATTGTTTTAAAGTTTCTCATCAAACAGACGCTTAGTTTATTTAAGCTACATTATTATTATTATTATTATTATTATTATTATTATTATTATTGTCTGTAAATGGGGATTATTAAAGTGTACCTATGTGGATATTCACTTTACTGTAGCCTACGTTTTGTTTTTATAACAATATTTATTGAAAACAAACTTTTAAAATAGGAAGATATTAAAA